ATTTTGACTATAATCAAGACTGGATTTTAATAGAATTTTATTGTAAACAATCATTTCATGGGCGTGACACCACCAGGGCGTCACACACGTCCCACATGCAATTAAGTCCTGTTTTTTTCTTTATCTTCTAGTCAATCATTGGACAATAAACCACCGCCTCGTGCGTGCCAATGGTCGACTGTTTCTCATTCAGTTTGCTTCTTGGATCTAACCACCCCTCTTCTGATTCGTTTCAGACACCTTCGCCAATTTCCGCTTTCATTTAATCAAACCATGGTCAAGGTTAAGTTTCAACCACTACATTCCATGGCCTCATCCCCTGCTCATGACTCCTTCCTCTAAGAAGCAAACACCTTATATTCATTTTGTGTATTAATGCAAAAAAAAAAATGGGCGTGACGTCACTTGGGCGTCACACACGTCCCGCTTGTAACCAGGCTCTACGCGGTCATTAAAACTATGTGAAAAATGTGGATTCAACTCTTGTGTGCGTGTGTTCTTTATCCCATGGGGTCACGTGAACGCTCATGCCCAAATATGGGCATTTGTGACGTCACATAAGTCACATGGTCTAAATGCTCGAATCTGATTGGTCGAGATAAAATTTGCTGCGCTCTGATTGGTCAGGACTTATAGGGGCCAGTATCACTACTAACATTTTCCAATTTGTTGATACATCATCCTTTACGTTCATGGGTGCTGGCGGTGGTATTTGATAAAATGGCATGTTGAGGGAAACGAATACTCACAGTTCTGGTGCTTTCTAGTTTCTTCCTGCTAAACAATATGGCGACGTCTCACCACGTGCACGACTCGCGAACAAGAAAATAATACCACAACAGCAACGACGGCTTCTCTGAAACGTTCCCCTTCTTCTTCTACTGCCTTAGAATTCTTGTAACTACGATTTTAACTTCTGACACCATGTTATTCGACCTTTAACTGAGGAATTGACTGAGACAACTTGAATGAAACGAAGCCATGCTTTCTACTTTTAATCACACTAAGACTCCTGGGAAGACTCCAAAAACTACTTCATGTAACAGAACCGACTTTGGATCGATTATTATTTTATCAGCTTGTGGTATGAACGAAACGATGTTCCATAAAGTTCACTCAATGCAAGGAAATTTAGAAAGATTTACTTGACTTTTCATTTGCCGAACGAACTGACTTTTTTGTGGAACGAACTGACTATTTTATGGAACGATCTGACCATGGAACGAAATCACCGGTTACCGTCATGCACCTAGCAGACTACCGATGAGCAAATTAAAATCTTTGTTACAGAAAACACGGAAAGTGACACTTTTTGTATTATGGAAGAGTATTCGGAAAAATACACCATTTTCGTCTGAAATTCTTTGTTACCGGTTAAAAATAGAATAGGTTTACACTTAAAAAGGTACAGAAGTAACTGTAACATTGTGAGGTCTTTACTTAAGGGGCAACTCCAAAACTAGTTCGTAAACGAGGGAAAGTGTATCTGTCGTCTAAACATCAAAGCACAGGCGATTTAGGTGGATTGAGATATCCAAATAGGCGTTTAAGTAAGAATTTGCCCCTATGTACATGCAATCATCCATTTTATAGTGCTTACAACAGTTTGAATCACCGGGTTAATTTTGGCCAATTTAAGCTTTGTACTGATATTGAGAGGAATCCAGGACCTTCAGTTTATGTAAATGCTACAAAAAAAATTAATGCTCCATACTGTCAAGGAAATGTTACAGTATTTGGGGAAAATGCTGGACAACAATGTGTCGCAATGAGTCTGTGCGCTTTAATTTACAGTAAGATAACAAAGATTACTTCAGTTGATTATATGTCTCAAATAATGATTGTTGGTATTCAATTATATTCTAGTCTGTCACTGCTTGCAAGACAATCTATGTTAATGTTAACAGAATTGCCAGGAATGGTTACGCTGTTTGAGCAATTTTTCCACCTTGAATACAGTGACAGTTATACTTGTAACATCCATCACTACCGTATATGCCCCTCACAGGGTACTACATTTGAAACACTCTTGGCACTGAACTACAACTCATTCCTTTTAACGGTGGCAATTATTGGTGTTGGTATATACGCTTTCACAGCGTCTTGTTGCGTTTTATTTTGGTTTTCTGTTTGGACAATTACGCAACATTTTACAGCGGTTACCACTAACACGCGCCCTCGAATGGTTTTTTTCTTTGTGGCTGAAACCTGAGTTTTCGTGGACGTCAATCAACTGTTTCCATGGTTTTCTCACGTGCTCTGACAGAGAAGGTTCCCTCGTCGCTGAACGAAGGGCGAAGACTTACCAGAATAATTTATAATGACGACGGCGTTTTTAATTTTATTTGTTTGATTAAGATGAAGGATTACATTGTTAAAACAACGAGGTCTCTGCGAGCTGAGTGAAATAGCCGAAATACTCTCTATAGTTAACGTAATGGTTTTCAGGTTGAGTTTATTCACAAGCTGTATTTATTTGATTGTATGAAAACACGGGAGCCGTGGACGAATTACCAAGGACCCGCGTAATTTCAAACAAACGGAAGATATCACACCAACAAGGGGCAAAGGTTTCCTATTTTTTTTTTATTTTTTTATTTTTTTTATTCAAGACATTTATTACTATAATTACAAAGAACTACTTAAAAAGAAAATAATTACAAAGTTCTAAACAACCGCAATAACAGACATACTTACAATTATCTACATTTCACAATTATATACATTACAGCCACAAAACAGCCGCGCAATTGCCGAATGAGGCTTATTTTACAAAGAATTAATTAATACTTAATTATGTAGATAAAAGAGAGATTAACACTTAATATTTACAGTACGCTCTGAAATAAAAAACAAAAACATAACCACACATACAAAAATAAAAAATACAAAAATACAAAAAAAAAAAAAAAAAAAAAGTGTCTAATAAAAGATTACATTTTTAATTACATACTCACGAACTTAATTAAAGGGGAGAAATGTCTTTTGGCCATTTTTCATAAAAGGTTTCTAATTTATTATTCTTAGTGGAAATATATTTTTCAACTTGGTATTTAATTCTTACTTTAAATTTGAAACCTTCGATGTTTGGAAGTACCTGTTTCTTTCTGCAATCCCATAAATACAATTTACCAATTAATATCAGATAATTTAACAAGGGGCATTTTGACATCGTTATTCCAATTATAACCTGTCGTAAACACAACCCGTGAAATTCCTTTGTTATTGTTAAATAATACTGTTCAACATTTTTCCACAACATATTTGAGTGCTGACAGTAAAATAGAAAGTGACATAATGTTTCCTGTTCAGTCTTGCAAAAAGTACATTTGTCATGCTGGAGATATCCAATTTTAAAAAGTTTTGCATTAGTGTAAAGTATTGAATTTAAAACTTTATATTGAAAGGATTTGACGTAAGGCTCCTGTGTTGTCAGGTGGGGAAGGTTGTAAGCAATTTTTAAGTCTTCGTCAGATAAGCCAAAAACATTTTTTAAATTCTTTGCATTACTAGGTAATTGTGCTTTATTTGATATTATTAAAGAGTAGTAGTCTTTCGTTTTCTTTTCCGCTATGTCAAAAATCTCATTCCCCTTTGTAAAATAAGTATTTTCTGTAAAGGTAGTATACTCTATTGTTTTCAGAATAGAAGGAATTGCATGCCTGAGACCTGTCCATGTAAGAAAATTAGCTTTCTCAATTATGTTATTGATTGCATTAAAGGATTCTATATTGTCGAGATTGAACAAGAGATCTTTAATAATACATATCCCCGAGTCATAATAAGATTTATAAAAGACTGGTTTTCCATCTATTCTTATATCTTTGTTATTCCAAATTATACAGAGCCGTTCTTTGTTAGCTAAAAAGAGATTTCGAAATTCTAACCAATATTCTAAGAGTTCTCTGTAGAAAACCGAGTTGATTGAAAGATCGTTCATTGCATAATTGCATTTAAAAAGTAAAAGACCACCAACACTACGTAGGAGATGAAACAAGTAAAATTTCCACGTACTTTCATTATCGCTGAAAACACGTTTTAGCCAAGCTAGTCGTACAGCTTTGACCAAGCTTTCAATATCTGTCATTTTTATGCCACCGTCTTCATAACTGTTTATTGAAGAGAGCCTCGTTACTTTATTCTTTCCATTCCATAAAAGGAGAAAATTATACTATTCACTTGTTTGATGATTTTACTTGGAGGTGAAAGAACCGAAGATATAAAAACTAGTTTTGGAATAAGTAATGATTTGATTATAGTTACTTTACCATAAATGGACAGTCCTCTAGATGACCATATATTTGTCAGCTTCTTTATGCTGTCAACATTTTCCCTATCCTCATCTGTTACGTTTGATTTGTACAAGCTATGGTAAAAGCGTTTTTGTTCGTTTAGTATCCCAAAAGGATCAGATGTAATGGAACCACTTATTAGCAGTTTTCTTATATGTTTTTTGACGTGATTACGCTTTTCTAAATTTAGAAAATATTTTGTGCTTCTCTCGCCATGCTCGTGCCATCGTGCCCTTGCGCGAATAATTACACCCCTTGTTTTTTCCTCATAGTAACTTCCTAGAATTTCTTTTGCTTCATTTAGAGTATTTAGGTTAGAGTCGGAAGGGTCCTGTTCGAATTTTTTAGTCGCTTCCTCGTATACTTGTTGTAAGTTTTTTTCCATAGCAGATCGTTCTTTGGCTTTCTTTTTCGAGAACAAAATAGCATGCTTCCGAATATTATACTTAAGCCAATCCCAGATGCACCTTTTGTCTGATAAATTATCACTTCCTGTTGTTTTCCAAAGTGGAATATTTTGTTTTAATTCTTCCAGATAATTCGGATCTTCGAGAAGAGAGACGTTCATTTTCCAGAAGCCGGGCCCCTTTGGGTTTTGATTGGAGTCGGTTAGATTCAACTCAATTGCTGCATGATCAGTTTTTATAGCTGGAATGATATCGGTTGTATTTACAAACTCCTGTAAGTTGTTTGATATCAGCCAGTAATCTAAACGACAGAAAATTGGTGGAGATTTTTGGCTCCAAGTGTAACTTCTAGATTGCGGATTTTTAATTCTCCAGACGTCGACAAGGTCCAATTCATTTTGTAAACATTCAATATTATCAATAACCATTTTTCTAGGAACCATAACGCCACCTTTCTTATCCAGCTTAGGGTCAAGAGGACAGTTAAAATCCCCTCCAATTATTATATTTTCTTCACAATCTAAGTCTTCTGTCTGTAGCACTCTATGTAGGTTTTTATAAAATTTGCCGCTGACTTTATCTTTGTTTGGCTCATAAATATTAACTAAAATGTACACCTTATCCTGAATGCCTGCCTTCAAAATAATAAATCTTCCCTGGGGATCAACAATGGATTTTTGGATTACACAATTAAAATTATTCCTAATCAATATCGCAACCCCACATGAATTTGGACTACCATGTGAGAAAAATGCTTTACCACCCCATTCATTTGCCCATTGTTTTTCTGAATCCTCTTTTGAATGCGTTTCTTGCAGGAATATTACGTCAGCTTTTCTTTTTCGGCACCAGGTGAACGTGGTTCTTCTTTTATGAAAATTACTTATGCCCCTTACGTTCAAAGAAACTAATTTAAATAAATCTGCCGTTTCAGTTGTGTTTTATAAAAATGCATATATTGTTTGGGATTAGTACTTTCCAATGTTTAACGAAGCATTCAAAATGAGTGAAATAAAAGACATTTTCTCCTCCAAATAAAAATAATAAAACAGAACAGAACACATAGTACATTTACATATAAACTGATATTAAACAAAATTCTTAACATCTAGTGGACGTAGATTAACTGTTCAGTTTGCAACCGATCATGGAATTAATACATTAATAATTTTTTGCCATTTTACAATAATAGGGAAGGTCTTTAGTTTCTTTTCCTCTGTATATTTGGCCATTGATTATCAATTTTTCGAAATTAAAGAAGGCTTTTTGCTTATCCTGCTTGGCCTTTTTAAGCACTGGATATAGTTTTCTATGAATTTCTTCAATTTCTTTCGGGAAATCATCTGAGAAACCGATGTTGGTTCCTTTTAAGTTCTTATAGAAGGAGCGAACATATTCTTTGTCCTGATAATGACTGAAACGAGCAATAATTGGTTTGGGATAGGACGGAGCTCTTAGACTAGAATTATCAGTGGAGATTCGGTGAACTCGCTCAAAGCGGATATCGTTGACTTTATCCGCCGGAATTTTCAAATTAGCGACGAAGACACTTCTTACCAGCTCTTCAGTATTTTCATCCTCTTCTTCCCCGACATTGAAAATTCTTACATTCTCACGTCTTGTATAGGCTTCCAACTTGATGTTTCTGCGTCTTAGCGCTCCAATGTCCTCGAACAAGAAGTCAATGTCTTCATTGTTTTCTTTTACTTGTGCAGAAGTTTCTTTCTGACTTTCTTGTAGACTTTCAATTTCTTCCTCGGCAGATTGCAAAGATTGTTTTAAATTCTTTACTTCATCTCTCAGCTTGCGTATTTCATCTTTTAGTAGTGCAATTTCACCACACGCTGTTAAAACTTGATCTAGTTTAGTGTTCATTTCCTCGAGGCGTGCTGACATTACTCCACCGACGCCCACATGTTCATCATCTTCATCCGTTTGCGAGCCATTTTCTCTCAGCCTTTTGCTCGGATTCTTGTCCGCTTTGTCCTTCCCCATTTCTGGTTATATCTATTTGTAGGTTTCCATGACAGGTACGTTATTAAAGCGTTTAGAACAGCATATTTGGTGGAGCTCACAAAAACACGTCCTACCTCCACGAGGTGCACTGCGCAAGGTTTCCTATGAACGGAGGCTGTTTTCGAAAATGAATTTTGTACCCTGCAGATCTAGTTATCATTCTTCATGTTATCGAATACTCAATAGAATCCTGGACTGGCAAGAACTCAGACGAGTTGTCGCGTGTATTGAGAAAGCTTATATGGCTGTAACTTTTAGTGTTAAGTCGATAATTCGAGTTTCCTTTGACAAACACTCCACAAACTCGTACTCCTTGTAATCTTGATATGAACCAAAAACGGCTTAAACGCCGACATTTTCCTCCGAGTGCCCGAGAAAGGGGAAAAGAATCTTCTTTTGACCAACGCGTAAACAAGGCTAGGGTTGATTGACGTCCACCAAATCGCAGTTTTGTGTTAGTGGTAACCGCTGTAAACGGGGAACTCTCTTGCAATCCAAGAATAGCCATGTATACCCAATCCAACATTTGACATTTATATCTTGTTGTATACGTAAAAATTACGTAAATCAATCTTAATTTATCATTAGGCTAAACTGCACAGAAATCAGTTTTCCAGACGTTAATTTTTTTTGTTACCGTCTATAGGAACGGCAGTATAATCGTGTACTTTGTGCTGCACTTTAATCTCCCAGTCAGTACAAACGAAGGAACTTTACAAATAAAGAATGCAGTGGAGAGAGGAACAATTGGCAGTTACCTAGTAAAAAATTTCAAAACTATTGAG